GGCATTCCTAGTCATGAAATTCAGCCCAGTGCAATCTAATCTAATGTCAAAGTTAGCCCTGCTTTGAGCTTTAAGTAGTTGACCTCCCAGTGTAAATTACTCTATGATTCTAAGTGTTAAATCATAATTTTTAACTTCAGGGCTTTTGTCTACTCAATAAGCAGCTTGTAGAGCAGCCCTGATTTTAAGACTTGAAGCCACAAGAACATTTATTGAATATAGCAAAATCGAATACAGATCTAACAGTCATATTTCGAAAGCAAGGAAAAAGTAATCAACATAACTCATACTACATGGATGTATTTCAGAAAATGTTGCTCAAGCCTTAAAAAAAACCCCCAACATCTTAAAGGAAATGCTTTATAAAGGAATGTGTTCTCTAATGCTTTCCTTCCTAAGAAACTTTTTTTAAAAATATCTTTAAATTTTATTAGAGTTATATGATATTGTGTGTTTTGTGGTTTGTTTTTTTAAGACATAGTTAAGTACACACAAAGATCTGTCATGTGAAACACACTGTTATCACTTTTCACAATGAACTATCACTGCAAAGCCATATGTTCTGTCAGGATTAGTAGCACCTCCCCACAATACTTTCTTTCCTAAGAAACTTTTCTTTTAAGAGGTCTTTAAATACTATTAGAGTTATGTGATATTAGGTGTCGTGTTGTGTTTTGTTTTGTAAACATAGTTAAGCTTATACAAAAACCCCTTGCGTAAAATAGAGTTATTACCTTCCACAATGAACTACCACAGCAACAAGGTCATACATTCTGTCAGGATTGGTGGCATCTCCTGAGGTGTTAAATAAACGAAGCTCTAAAGGAAAAACTACTCTATAAGAGAGTTTTGTGTATCGATGCAGCTGATCCATGTATTTAAATCTCTTCAAATGGAGAGCTAGAATCATAGGCAGCTTTTTTACTTTCATCCTGAAAAAAAAACCCAACAACCAACAGTATTTCCAATATCCAGCCAAAACATTCAGTTGGTACAAGAAACATGAAACCTGTATTACTGAAGTCTTTAAGAAATTTTGCAAGCATTAAAAGCTGCTCAAATAATCATTTGTTTAACAAATACTGAGCATGTTCTGTGTTGCTAAACTGAAGGTGGATTTGAACAATTGAGAGACTTGTTAATGTATTTAAAATAAAAAGCTATAATATATAATAAGAATAGCCATAATGAACCCATATAATAATTTAGACATAATGACCACATAGCACAGAATTCAATTTTTAAACATACCTCCCCATAGATTTCCTGAGTTCCCAAAAGCAAAACCTAGATCCCACTTGGTATACAGCGGAGATATGGCAACAAAGTTGTTCCAGAGATCCTGTTCCAGTTGAATTTCTCAGTAAACCAGCCAAGTCAAACAAGCTTTTTAAAACAGGCTTTGTTACACCACTTTGTTACATATGCATTACTCCAAGTTTTCGTATCAAGCCATTCATTTAAACATTGCCAAGGGGTACGAATAGCCCACTGTTATTCACCTTACCTCATGCTACCCAAACAAGATAATGCTGTGCTCTAGCACAATAATTTTGTACAAATGTTGCAGCGTTATTTTATGGCAGTCAAAGGTAGAAAGTGATAATCTAGTTTTACTGAGGGCTCACTGGCCCCTTTCCCTGTTTGAGGTATTGAGATCTCACATCAGTGCCTGCAAATTCTCATCAGCCATCCACAGCTGGCCTGGCAGCAAACACAGACTTCCACTCTCTGGGCAATAAATTTGCCCACACTAACAGATCGACCAAGCTGGAGTGCTCTGCTTCTTGGCACAGCTAATTGCCTTTGATTAGCACTGTGCTGAATTTTTCAAAGTGCCTTCAGCCCCTAAAGGCAGCTCAAAAGTCTCAAAATACAGCCCAGGTTTCAGACATGTCTACTAAGACCGTATTTTCGGAATGTCAGGAAGTGTGTTTGTACAAGACAATCCTTTTTTCAAAAGTTAGGGGGCTGGGGACAAAATCCTTGAAAACTCACCTTCCTTCCCTTTCTCTAATTAAACTTACGCTGATAGTAACCTGTAGTAAACCCTGCTAGACTCAAATTTTCTCCATGGCCCACAAGGAAAGTAGGAAATGAAAAAAGCTGGAGAAGAGCAGAAAGATGACAGAAGCAACTGTTTTTACAAGAGTTACATTTTTATTATATTACTGAGATATGGATATAATTTCTGCTCTATTTCTTTTTTCAAAATGAAATCCCTCTTCTTACAATGCAACCGTGTTTGATAATAGGCGCTCTTTCACTGGTGAAGAAATTCAGTATACCACCTTTGCTAGTTGAGTAGACACTATCACAGATAAGCTCCACATTATAGATACAGAAGAAAATTACGACTGCAGTAAAACTGAACTTAAGTCCCACATAAAAAGCAGAATATAAACAATAAAAGCTGTGTTTTGCCAATATGGCAGTGCCTACAGTACAGGTTTATGTCAACACAGCTTATATTGGTCAGGAATCACGTTACCTTCCACACAGAAAAAGAGCTAAGGCAACCGAAAACAAGACAGACCTGGCTTCACAACCCTCTAATACACACCAATTAGTAAGCTTAGGCAACGTGTGAAGGCAGACTTTGCAGATGAGATATGCCAAAAGCCATGTGCTGAATCTACGGTAAACCAAATAACCAGAATCAGTGGTATAACCAGTAGAGCATGTCAGTGTTCCCATCCCTTCAACTCATCTATAAGCAGCCAAATACTTTCTCAGATAATAAATACCACACAGTATATAAAATCTGAGGTTTTTCAAAAGGTGTAAACAAGACTAGAGGAATTATTAGGCAGACAAGAATTGTTTTTAAACATAATGAATGTCAGGCTTCTGATGCTTTTCAGGAGCACTGCTCAAGCAGAAGTTTAGCACAACTAATTATGCACTTTTAAGAAACCAGAAACTTGGTTAACAAAAAAAATTACAAGCCTCATTCTGACTGAATCAGAAAGAAGTGCTATCAAGCTGATTCTTACAACAATTGGAAAAATTATTTTATTATCACCACAACAAAACCAAGTTTAAAAAGTCACATGAAATCAGTGACTTTTCGTCATTATCCATAATCTTTGATTAGTCACTGGCAGTTTGTTTTAACTTGTCTTTGTAACTTATTTTTGGTCTTAAGACCATTCTTTTTCTCATTCATAAAATAAATAACGATTCAAAGGAGTCCCAAAACGCTTTACATGGATTCTCATTACTCATGGAAGTAGGCTCACTGAATTCAAGCAAGAGGAACACAACTAATTTATTCTTAAGTGGAAAAAGAATGAGAAAAATTAAAGGAAAAGGAACATTTTCCCCCTGCCTCATACACACACACACGGAAATACGAGTATTTTCATTAAATACATGGGTTACTTTTTTCCCTCCCTGAGTCTGATGTACCTTTTATGTGCTTCTTGCTTACTGCGACATTCTTCACAGTAATATTTGTATTCACTGCAGAGAGTTTCTGTATTGCTGAAACCCCTGAATAAAAAAAAAAAACAAAAAAACCCAAACATGCTATAGATACTAGTTTCTTATCTGAAATATACATATAAACAGGTACAATATAAACATAATTTTATGCTCTGGGGTCTACATAAGCTAAAATTTGCTAGGCATGTGAGCTTTTAGTTTTAATTCATACTTTCTAAGTAACAGATAAAAGACAAATTACCAAAATTCAGATGTTTGCATCTACCTTAAACAATGAGTGATTGAAGTATTCTGCTCCACATCAACTGAAAGGTCTAAGAAGTCCTCATCTTTGCTGCTTATCTGCAGGAAAAATGAACCCATAGATTATAGTTAAAACTAGTTATACTAATTTACTTCTGTTTTTCAGTACCATTGTCTATTGACAGCACCTTTTACCTTATGACAGCCCTTTAAAAATTGTTACAAGTGGACTATCTATTTCAGAGACTTGCTAGATCTGTTTCTGATTTTGTCCAGGAAGAGAGAAGCGTACATGTGTCTGTGGGGGTATATAATGCCAGTTATCATTATGCCATAATTTCAGCTCAATAATATTAATGCCAAGTTCCTTCTACACCTCACTCTTTTCAAAATTATACAATCACTGCGATTCTTCTATTTAGGGTTCTCACCTCTGTTCTTCCCCTATGATTCCCTCCAACTGAAAGTTACATATTTGGATATCACAGTGTCCCTGATAAAGAGCACAAATATTTTGAAGCCTCTTCCTGGCTAGATTCATACTCTTAAATAAGCAACAGATAGCAAATTTGTTGGTAAATGAGAGCTTGGGACTTGGTCTGATAGAGGCAGAATAGTGCATAGCAATTTCTTACAAAAATGCAAGAACAACAATTAAAGTAAAGAAGAAATTCCTAGAAGCAGAGAATAGATTCCACCACAAATCCTGAAAAATGGTGATGGACGAAATCCACAGCTGTCCTAAAAATCAACTATGTTATTAAAAGGTTTAGGAAATAGCAATCTGCAGCCTTAACTTTTGTCTGCTAGTGTTTCCTCTGCCACTGAAGAGAATGTCCTGTGCCTTTTATGACTCTTAGGTACAAAAGTAAATGCTTTTAGAAAAGGTGCCTGGCTGCAGTTTCTTGATTGAAAGCAGAAAAAGTTAAACAGTTACAGAAGAACTAATGTAAGTTTATCTCTAAAACATGAGATTTATGTTCCCTTTTAAACTCAGAATAAAAATAAATTTGGAAAGTTGTTCTCTGACTACCAAGACACAAGAAGCACACAGTTCCTATGGGCAGCATGCATGGAGAATAAAAAGATAAATACAGGTGGTCAAGACAACTATTTTTGAGAATTAATACCACAAGACAAACACAAAAACTTACGAAATTAAGTTAAAAGTTTCTACTAATATCTGTGAGAGAACTGGGAAAGGATTCCTCCCACTCTTCTGTACCTAATCTTTCCAAGAATAAGTATGCATGTACAAAAAAAACGTCACTATGACAGTATACATTCACATATATATCGTCATTTAAATGCTGAAGTGTAATGTTTATACTTCTAAAGAGATCATGGCACATATATAGAAAACTTCCATTATGTTTTTAGGGTGGGGAAAAAAAAGCCACCTGCATCTTTAGTGTGCTGCATGTTTCCTGTCTTCAGGGATGTTCTATGGTTTAGGTGTGTGGATGATTCTTCAAAATATCCCACTGCAAACCATTTTTGGAATTATCAAACTTGACTTTATAACATTAAGAACTCTGGTGGAAAACATCTTAGCCTGGGGATTAAGAAGAGCTCAGGAAAAAAAAAAAAAATCAGTTCTAGAAAATACTCTGCTGCAGTCTTCAGCTAGGACAGCTGGAATTAAGGAGTCATGTGATCAGTGTGATTCAGACATGCAATTAGACAATTCTTCCTCTCTTGGTCTAATCAAAGAAAATTCCACGAAACAATAAAGATTTCACAAGCAGCTTTATCCCACGCAGAAGGGGAGGAGATGGAGAAGAAGAAAGGGATATGTTGTATTTGGTTAAAAAGAGATTGGTACTGAAACCAGAAGTCCGCAAAAGGAATTCTTCCGTTCTTAGTGATAATACTGATAATGCTGCCTTAAAGAACCTCTCTTAGGTTAGCCAGTCCATTGTGCACCCAGGATCATGAGGAACCATTAAAGGCTTTACTGAAAGAATAGCCAAATGCATTTTTTCCATCTATGTTGATAATTTAGAAATCACTATTCTTAATTTTTAAGATTTTTTGAACATTTGTATTTGAACGGTACATTTTTTTAACATTGACTCATACATTTTTAATTATAAAAAAGAAAAATTATATAAAAGTCACCCTCCACTCTAACTCCCCAACCCCTTCTGTAAAGGTTCTATTTCAAATAAACATCACTAAGTTCCTTAGACTAAAATTGCCAATGCTATGTATTTCAATCATCTATAGAATTAAAAAAAAAAAAAAAAGATGGACACAGTCAGAAAACCTCATCACTAGCAGAATCAAGTCCTGATGTGTTCAAAAAGTGATCTGAGTGCTCCTAACACGAGCATCTGAATAACAGCAAAGAATTTGCGTGCTCCAGTATTCTGGCTAAAGGTGATGGTATGTTGTTCTCACATTGAGGACATAATCTGCGCTCAAACTGCTCAGCTCTACTCTTGATGACCAATGCTATACTGAACAGAAAACTCAGAAGGCTAACACTCATGGAATCTGTATTTCTCTCTGTTTGGAATTTCACTAGGAATGTGAATCAGCTCACTGACAAAAAGACTTTTGCAACTGTAGGCTCCCATGCGTGCTAAGACAGAAACTAGTTTTAAATGAAGCTGAAACAAAAGGCATGATTTACCTCTGTTTCACAAAAAAAAAAAAAAGAGAGAGAAAAAAAAAAGGAGGGCATAGTTAAGGCTTCTATAGTACTCCTGTAAGAGAGATCACTGAGATTTTTCTTATTGTCTTCTCTCAGTTCAAAGTAGAATTGAGTCAAGATTTTTACACCTTGTAGATCCATCTGAACAAAAGAGCAAGACTATCAGCTGGAGAAAAACATTATCGACATGTTTGCTGCTTTTGACCCAAGACAATTACTGTTTTTCTCTGTAGAAGTCCTGCCTACATTTAGCTGTTTCAGATTTAATGTTGATGAAGTCAATTACATTGTTTTCTGGTTTACTGTTATTCTTTCCTTAAATTGTGAGAGAAATCTGTAAAATAAATTAACTTTTTATCAATTTTTATTATT